TTGCTTTATCCCTTAAGCTAGCCAATTATATCAGATGTATGACAGTAATAGCTGTTTTTCTGCATGCATAAATTCATTTCCGGAAGTGTAGCTTGTCAAATGTGGTTTTTGGATTTGAAGGAAAGGTAACCTTATGCTTTGTTGTGGGTGGGGGAGAGGTTGATTCTAGAAGCAACATAGTAGTCTCCTTCCTTGAATCGTCATTTCCACTCTACCCGTTATCATTTAACTAATATTTTTGCATGGAAAACTAAAACCTTATTTTTCCTAAAGTTTGCATGCTATGCTTCACTATCTGTTTTATGGTCTTCCTTATTGATTGTTGTTGTCTGTCCTAGCTAATTCACATTAGCTGACTAGGCTCCTTGTCATTCATTGATGTCAATTTCCAGTTTATCCACACAAATTTGTGTCATTTCCAATTTATCCATACATACAGATACAAAAACCATGAATGCTGGTTGGTTAGCATCTTGGTCTTGTTTACTTAATCAAGTTTGATATCCATTAACATGTCCGTTTGATTCAATTTCAGGAGGGGCCACTGCCTCGAAATGATAGACTCCGATATCAACCACTGGAAGTATATCCTGCACCCCTTCACAGATGCTAAACATTACATCAGTATTAATGCCAATGTTCATGGGCAATTTTCCTTGGTTGGTTTGATCAATCTGTAACAAGGATGTTAAGGGCTGCCTGACGGATGTGCTTCTAGAGAAAGTTCATGATGGCAAGAATTTGCAGTGACCACTCTCTAGCTGGAAGCTTTACAATCAGTGAGACCTGTAACAGCCTTGTTTGAACTGAAGCATTTTTTGAGTACCTTTATGCAGGATAACAACAACAATTTTTGCGGTCAATCCTGTATATATCCCTCAATCAAACATGAGCTTATAGATTTTGGAATCGGACTGAGCGGCATGTGTCCATTTTTGGTTATTAAGCATTGTCCGTTCGTCCACAGCAAAAAGTCAAAGTTGTAGTCCTGTAACATTTGCTCAAAGAACGAATAGTAGTACTTTTCAGTCATATTTTAAAGCAGGTAATTATAGCTTGCGGTTATGAATCATCTTTTGGGAGAAACAATAAAGTTTGAGTATTGTTCGTTAGGGTTACAGCACC